AACAGGCTTAGAAGATGACTGTGTGGTCAGGAATCTGACAGGAATTTCATTCAACGTAGATTTGACAACATTATTGACTAGAAGTGATGTGGAATTTGTAGAAGATATAGAAGGAGAGGGTTGAATTGTTGTCATTTCACCTTCTTCATTGGTGCACTCCTCATAACCTTCTTCTTCGATTGTCATTGACATTTGCTTTCCTCTCTCCTCTTCTTTTCCTCTTCGACAATCGTCTTCTCCTGGATCTGTAGTCTCAACAATCACCGTTTCGTCATTATCAACAACTTGACGAAGAAGACAAGTAGTCGGTGAGTTCAGAAGACGTCTGAGTGTTGCACCTTCTGATTTTATCGATTTCGATGAATTCTGTGTAGATGACATGGGAATTTTAGACAATCTCATCGACGCTGGGATGGGCCTGGGTCTATGTAGCATGTTTCTTCTTCACGAGAAAGAGAAACAGGAAAACAAAATGGACGAATAATTGTATTCGAAAGAGGAGGATGTGTTTGTTGTATGTGAGTGGATGGAGAGAATAAATCGTAAGGCGAAATTTCCATTCACAATAAATTACAATTGATTTTTGTCTGCAAAGTTCATCGCCTACGCGGGTCAATAGGCTAGATTCATTTCGCCTCGATACGATTGGTGAAAATTTGAATTCGTTGGACGCCCTAAAATAATTGGGGGTCCTGAAGACAAATAAGACTTGTCTGTGTCCCCTCTCATTCTACCCCATGCATATGTCAAGTTGCAACAATTCGCTGACTCAACTAGCAAATCACGGGGAGACGAACGAGAAAGGTCAAGGTCGGTCTATGGCAGACCTAATGTTGGTCATAGTTGAGCATTCTGACTGGTTGATTTGGTGAGTGGACCAATCAGCGGAGACCACGCTCGCTTATTGTCTGTCTCTAATCATTCAAGCACTCACCAAATGACCTTATAGAAATCAACCAGTCAGAATGCTCAACTATGACCAACATTAGGTCTGCCATAGACCGACCTTTCTCGTTCGTCTACTCGTGATTTGCTAGTTGAGTCAGCGAATTGTTGCAACTTGACATATGCATGGGGTAGAATGAGAGGGGACACAGACAAGTCTTATTTGTCTTCAGGACCCCCAATTATTTTAGGGCGTCCAACGAATTCAAATTTTCACCAATCGTATCGAGGCGAAATGAATCTAGCCTATTGACCCGCGTAGGCGATGAACTTTGCAGACAAAAATCAATTGTAATTTATTGTGAATGGAAATTTCGCCTTACGATTTATTCTCTCCATCCACTCACATACAACAAACACATCCTCCTCTTTCGAATACAATTATTCGTCCATTTTGTTTTCCTGTTTCTCTTTCTCGTGAAGAAGAAACATGCTACATAGACCCAGGCCCATCCCAGCGTCGATGAGATTGTCTAAAATTCCCATGTCATCTACACAGAATTCATCGAAATCGATAAAATCAGAAGGTGCAACACTCAGACGTCTTCTGAACTCACCGACTACTTGTCTTCTTCGTCAAGTTGTTGATAATGACGAAACGGTGATTGTTGAGACTACAGATCCAGGAGAAGACGATTGTCGAAGAGGAAAAGAAGAGGAGAGAGGAAAGCAAATGTCAATGACAATCGAAGAAGAAGGTTATGAGGAGTGCACCAATGAAGAAGGTGAAATGACAACAATTCAACCCTCTCCTTCTATATCTTCTACAAATTCCACATCACTTCTAGTCAATAATGTTGTCAAATCTACGTTGAATGAAATTCCTGTCAGATTCCTGACCACACAGTCATCTTCTAAGCCTGTTAATATCCTACCAGCGAATGATGCTATACAAAGCTTGTCAACAAGTACACCACGTGGTGCTCCACCTCGAAGTGTATCATTCCGACCGATATTACCAGCTGAGAGTACTCCCTCAACAAGCCTACGAAATCCATGTATTCTCTCCAACTCCACTTTACCCACACACTTTGGTTACGTTCATCTGACACGAGTACAACAATAAATATTACCTTCCCAGCAGGTGTGAGTAGTCTTACTGACCTGACGAGTGTTCTAGCTCAGAGTGCTGCTTTAATGAATTGTGCGACGAGGGATATTATTAACAATCAACATCCTGGAACTATATGCTGCACACCATCTGTCCCTGAAAATACCACAGACGATAACAGTGGGAATAATGCAATCAATAATACTGTTCCTGATGTCATTAGCAGTAGAAGTTGTGGTAGTGGTAGTGGTATAAAAATTCCTACGACTTCAGTATTACCGAATTTATCATGTGAATCATCGAGTGGTGATTATTCAATTCTCAATGTAAACACTGACACACAACAAACACCGAATGACATTCCCGATCCTAGAGCTTTATTCAATACGAAATCTGTGAATGAGCTGGACAGACATCAGTTTGCATATACTGGCTGTGGTGAAGTCTACTTACAGGTGTATAGAAAGAAAGAACCTGTTCATTCGGATACTGGGGAAAGACGGTATGTTTGCCGAAAGCCTGATTGTGGAGCAAGATTTGTTCAATTCTATATGGCGAAACTCCATGAGTTAACTCATCTCCATGATCGTAAAGGTTCTAAACGACTTGAACAATATGCCGAATATGTGGAGCATGTTATGAATGGAGAGAATTCTGGTGTGGGTGGTGAGTTGTCAGTCCACGAAACTTAGGTCTAACAACTGCCACCACCACGACAATAACAACCATTCCTTCATCAAATACTCTGACGAAGCCACCTAGTCAAGTCGATATGCAAATCAATACATGTAGATGTATTAAATGCCGTCTTCTCCCCCACGCGAGTCCACCGAAACCGAATCCTCCACCTCCACCTCCAATACCTCCTATTACGCATATGAATGGTAAACCACATATTGCATATCCACCTTTCTGTCCATGGAAAGCATGTAGTAAGATATTTGGAAGCTTTAGATCATTGATTGGACATATTTGTCGGCATACTGGTGAAAGGCCATATGTCTGTGAAGAATGTAAAAAATCACTTATACGAAAGTATGATCTAAGTAATCATAGAAATATTCTTTTAAGAGGTGGAGAACAGCCAAGACGTTTGTCTCGATTTCCGACTTCTTCACAGACAACAAATCAACCAGTTGAATCTACTACTCTCTCAGATAACTCCGTGATTACTGATATTACTAATACTGCTACTTCTACGTTAACAGCTGAGAACACGAATGTCCTACGCGTGATGACTACCACCTCCAACCCTGATACTACTGATGCTGGTGCTGATTCCATTCCAACTGCTACTGCATCCGTCTCTTCTTCTTCACTAGTGGTCATGGGACAGTGTCCCAACAACTGCAAGGCTTTCACGAACATCTGTAAGTGTTGAAGTGAAGAAATTCTTGCACCGTATGTCATCAAACCGTGCGATAACGAGCTGAATGAATCTACTGACAACATTTCATTTTGAATACTTCATTGTCTCAGTTAATCAACGTTATATTAGTTATAGTAATAATAGTAATAGCAACACCAATCATTCAATCTATCACTCCACTGGTTCACAAAGAGTATCATTACTACGCTAGAATTACGCAACAACCAATTGCATGTATACGCTTGAGTGATGGCGCTTGAGAGTAGTTGTTATTGTTGCTGTTGTTGTTGTTGTTATCACTGTTATTGTTGACACATTTTCCGAATCACTTTCCAACTTCACTCATGAAGATTTGTCAATTGTCAAAGCCATTGTTTTCTCTCCCTCTCTCACTTTCTGTTGCTGTCTGTCATTCACGCTTGTATTAAATAATTTGCAATGATTTTTCGTTGTTGTGTTTCCCGATAACCTACCTTGATGACGGGAGAATCACTTGCTGCCTCTACAAGTTATTATATTTCTTTCTTAATTTCAATGCACTCAAAAAAGTAATGTGCACATACACCTATGTGCTTTGTACTGAATATATATATATGTAAATTCATGTTGTGCTGTTCTACTGCTTGCTAAACGCTGAAGTGAATGCTGCTTGCTTAAGCCTAGGCCTAATCCTTAGCCTCAGACTAAGACTTAGTCTAATTCTATTGATTTTGCATATGATTGGTCAATATTCGAAAGCATGGATCCACTAGTCACATGTTGGTTGACCTTGTGAGTGTGGATCGGTGCGACTATCTTAATCTCAATGGTTAGCTCAGAAGTAATTGTGTAAACATATTGGTAATAAAGCAGGATGAAGTGGATCCGACTTATTTCGTTAATGGCTCCTGTCGACTGTTTACAATCTGGATGATGAAATTCGAAGTGGTTTATTCCATTAGGGCCCCACCTAGTGTCGCCTCGAAATTGTCTCGAACGTGCAAAGGTGAAGTCTCAGCGAGCATCGATTTGCACTCACAACACTAGGACCTGCACAACAACATCAAAAGCAGAGGTCATAGTCATACTCACAGAAGGAGGACATCTACTCACTCCTTTAGCATCTCCTAAGCTTCGGTGGAATACCCAGAATGTAAGTTACAAATTCGAATGTTCTTCATCTTCCATGGTGGATTGACTAACAACACCCGTCTTAATTCTTATAATCTATTTTATTGATCACACTGATAGTGGTTCTGAAAGTAATTTACCTTCCATGCTGTTTCTCGCAAGTCTTATACCGATTTTATTCAAATGTCTAGTCTCTGTGTACTCAAGTATGTAAACGAAGCAAGAAATTTGTGTGAGTACTGCGTTCATTTGATTATCGGCGGCAATAAATTGTGCTCGAAACGTTGTCATTAGTAAATATTACTGTATAACAATGTGAGGCTACTTTATCAAAATAAAGGTTTATCCAGAATGAAATTACCGAATCGTAAACAGAGCATATACACGCTACACCTGCACCAATCCCTTAGAATGCAAAAGGCAGAACCACATCGGTTATGTATGTGATACAGTAGTGAAACGTGAAACTCATCAAGTCAACATGAAACTCTCGCACAAAATAAACACACAAAACAACAAACCCACCTCCATGGATTGACTCCATGTGTTTCTTCAAATTGCTAGCTTCAGTGAATTCTTTCCCACATACGTCACACCGATATTTTTTACCTGATTATCAATAAGAAAAATTGAAAGTGAAGATAATAATATAGTCTTATGGAATGTATTGGGTTAACTGAGAGGAGCATGGTTTTGCCATTATAATCCTCTCAGTAATAAAATATCAGTAAGACAACTAGAGGAGACACATCCTATTCCACTACACATTGAATTATTTCCGATAACTATGGATAAATTTCGCCTCATAAGAGACAATTTAAATAACAACAAATTAACCGGAATAAAGTGTGAGAGAAATTAGTTACTACTTTGTGATTCTTTCGAAATTCACCCAGTCATCAGAATTCCAGTAAAACACATTACTCGCGTTTACTCAATATGGTCATAAAGTGGAAGCTGGTGTAACTCACATGTTCTTTCGAAGAAGTTAGCAATGAAATGACGGTATACTTCCGAACTATATACCACAATTGTCTATTCCTTTTTCGTATTCAATTCAGAAATGAAAACTGACTACGAACGCCTAACACCATACAACTATCAGTCATCAAATAATTTTCACACACACACACAGTTACATATGGATGATACTTTGCGATTCCTAAATAATTTGGCGACATAAATGATAATCCGAACTGACCTCCTTCTCACAGACAACGACATAAAGACAAGGATAATTATACACACATCGATGCAATTGTACAGACCAGTGAGTGATATTGAGCAACAATGTCGCTTTACTGAACTACTTCTCCTTATTTCTATGTCTAGATGTGTCGTTTGGACGTAAGAATTATTTCACCTCTTCTTCCTACACTATAACCTTAAGGGTTCATTTTTGCTTGTTCAATGTTACCAACATCCTTAATTTCGAAATGAACATTCGGAACATCACACGTGAAAATAAGCCAATGTCACTACTTGTCTTCTTTACTTCAAACAAATCTCAAACGACCTAGAATATTTTGAAAAGGCAATCATAAGTCTGATAAATGTAGTGCTTATCCAATTTCCTGCATTTTTACATAAAGATCGATCACTTCATTCTGCTTATTATTCACCATTTTCTGATGAAAGTAATGAAAGATGGAGTGGCTAAACACACAGCTAATTCACTACTTTCTATTAGTCATACAGTTCCACAAGCTGTACAAAAATGAGTAAATATATATGACTACCTATTTTGGCATGTAACTCTCGCATAGAACGTAAGAGGTGTGTGTTGATTCGGTGAATGTAAATACCATGAATCACCCTTGACGCAATTACCAAATCAAGACCAACATATTGGTAGCCATGCTCTCCTCCTTACGGCAAACGTATCTCCATTATGTATGTGAATGCTGACAACAGGCACACATACCAAGACCATTCATAAATGTTTTCTTAAGATAACGTATCCTTTCAAATCTCATTATTTTAAACAAACCTACAACAGATTATATGTGAGATTGGGCGAATGTCACTACATGTTCTCTTCATTCCGAAAGAATTTAAAAGCAGCTAGAATATTTTGAAAATGCAATATTAAGTCCGATGATTGTATTGTTTATCTAATCTCCAATCCATCAGTCACAATAGCTTGTCGTCGAACAGCAGTAAGTGATTAAATATATTGTCTAACGTAAATACTGGAAATCCTGCCAAAATCAAGCCTCAATGTGTTACCTAGGTCACAGTAGAAGTTTTGCTTTGTCACCTCATACTAGACTCATAGTTAGATTTTGGATGAAGTTGCAAGGTAGCTAATATTCAATTTTCTATGACAATGGACACATGTTAGTAGAGCAGATAGGCAGCGACCGAAGAAATTCTACCTTATTAGATGGCATTGATTTTGACTTTCCTCGGGCGTCAAAATTCCACGTCCATTTTCCGTACATTAATTACTACTCGATCCTCGTAGACAGATATCACGGATAATATTGATTTCTCATATAAATGTATTATTCTATACATAGTCGTTTTGATCGTCATAGTTATTCAACAAAATATCTCAGTTCACAATTAAGCACACTTCATTTTACAATAGAACCATCTACTTTTACTGTAAACGCTGTAATCCATATAGCCCAAAAACTAAACTACCTACACAAGATCTCATATGAGAAATATGCTGAAGACTATATCATAGCCAATGTGTTGGCATTCAGTGGCTGTAAATCTCCTATTAGGAATATGCACAGCTTTCAAAATGAGCGACATTGTCAACTAACACTATTACATGCTCTCTCTATCTTTAAATTTCCATCATGCAAAGCCAAATGAAGTCAAACTGGAAAAGTTGTTGGGTAGTGTATCGGAAAAACATATTCTTACCTGTGCCATGAGTCACAAAAACGTTATTACCAGAGAAAAGTATATCATAGTAATGACACTAAGGATAAATTACTCTCACTTCATAGAGAAATGATCATGTCATCACAACCCTCATCCTACTCTGTAGTCATTTGTGTACACACAATTACTGTATAGTAGGTATGTGTGTATCGTTAAACTGTTGTTCAGATTTCAAATTACACATACTTCTCGTTCAGTGATGATTAATCTTTCAATGCCTGCAGTCTAATGAGTGTATGAGAATGCTGTTGACACTGAATTTAACTGGGAAAATCCATATTGTTGTCTATGGTAATGAGGAAGTCGTTGGAGAAGTAGACGGCATTCTGGATAAATCTGTCAGTTAACATCTGATAGAAACCTGCAGGCTTTAGAGACAAATACTTCTCTAACTAGGAGCTATCCTGCAACCAAGTTGATTCTTATTTATCTGACAACATACTCCTGTATACAATCAAAGGTTGATAGATACTCTACTCATGTTAACTCTAATTGTGTATACAAATTTATTTGTTCACAGTAGCAGTAACACCACGAGAGCAGAAAGTAGGACATATCTTGGATTCTTTGAACATGTGCCAATCAGCTTACGACACAATTGAAGAAATACCTTAAACAGTGCTATTGCTAAACATATTGTTCATATGTGTAATGAGATAGACACTATGAAATCCTTTAAAACATTTGATACACATTAGGACTCCATTCTCGTCAAATTTCCTGATGAATTCGCTATTAAACGGTTAAGAGCTGATTTATGTGTTCACCCATCAGTCTTTCCTTGTCCTGCTAACCCTTTGTCTAATGTCTTCCCCTCATTCTTTGGCCTTGCCTTCACGCATTCTCGCTTCAAAGTAATTTTGTTTGTTCGTTTTATGTGTCAATCATTTGACTTCAATACGCCATACTACTACTCAACTGATTAATTAATGTCATGAACTTCGCCCCTCTTGTCTTGATTGTACAATTTAATTTTTGCCATACGAACAACCGACGTCACTGAGCATTACCAGTCTCAATAATTTATTGTACACTTTGAACTCCATGTTCCACATGTAACATATTAACCTCAATACATTTGCATTCCAAGAGATACTTTTAAACCACAACATACACACATTACTGACTAATGTACACCAAAATTTTATCCTGTTATCTCAGTTGTCAACCTTGTCGAACCATATTCATCTCTCGACAAATTCCGAAACATATTTTGTGTAATACTCAATTAGCAGTTAATTCGCTTTATGCTAAAGAAATAATAATATGCTCAACTCATCTTCTTTACGTTCCCGTAAACTGCTTGCATCATAGAACTAATCAGATGTTTTCCTTTCCTTGACGGTCAAGTCTTCAATCCTTATCGTGAAACGGATGACTGTGAATGTAGGTGACGTGGAATATCATAGATGTGCGTGTTAATGAGAAAGTCGTTGAGGAATAAGAAGGTGTCCTAAGTAAACCTACACGTTCTGCAAGTTAACAAATGATAGAAAGCTTCAAATTTTGAATAAAGTGCTGAGAAAAATCGCTGATGTTCGATGAAAAGAGTGAATGTGCCTCAGTGTCGTGTTTCTTCAAAATTTACTCATTTCCAAAATCAAATCCCTTCAACATTGCAATCCGATTGATATATCGGTATCTTCAGTTAATTAATGCAATTTCGATTCACAAAATCATTCACAAATCACTGGAGTTTCGGAGCACGCAACAGTATCAAAATCATATTTTGCATGTGGAAAATTTCATTCACAATGCACTTGTCATTTCCTATTAACTCCATCTCATATAATTAGAACAAACAAAAGCACAAATTCGTTAAAAAAATGATGTGGGGCCAATTGAAACAGAAAAACTCAGTTTATTTAATATCCTAAAATGATTGTGAGGTCCAATACATGTTTCGAAGTGGTAGCCAGACTCAATGAGACTGTCTCAGCGCAGACGCTTTGCGGAAACTGAACAAGGTGACTTCGATAAAGTAAGAAATCAAGCGAATAGATCAAATACAGCACTGCATGCAGTTACACACAAATATACAATAGGGTGGAACAAGGTGTCATTCTTAAACTCATATATAACTGGATCTATGGCGAAACCGACAACTAATGTTTGTTTGTCGAATCGAATGACAGTATGCGTAACAGGGATGCCTCAGGATTTGTCGCTGATGTCTGATAAATTCTAATTCTCTTACAGTACGTGAGAAAGTAGGATGACAACTACAAAAATCAAGGTCTCAAACTATGTAGTTGACACCGATATGATTCAGAACAACGAATAGTGTTCAAAGCTTCGTCATTCGGTAGTTATTCCTGTTTAACCCTATCTAATACATCCAATGGAATGGATGTTCTGTGGAACCTCACTGCACTCAACAAACCACTGTTTGTACATCTGAAATACAAAGAAGATAGAACTTGTGAAGTCCTCAGAAAGAGTCTGTCAAGACCTATTCAAAGAACATCCTTCGCCACATCTTTGTGACTCACCTTCTCTGCTCACGCTACAATTAACAATTGAAAACATCCAGTCTCATTTTTTCAAGACCTTCACTTATAAAGTCAGACACGTTTCACCATTTTAAGATTGATATTCTAATTGTAGAGTCCTTAATATCATCACAATTTACCATTTATCTCATACATAGGATACACTGTGGACTTCCAGAGTTCCAAATCTGATATGAATCATTTGGCTCCACTGTATCAATATTTCATCACTTAGAACATAGAATGGGACTCTGTAACTTCTCTACACAGTAGTTTCGAAGTACTCTCTCACTCATTCTTTCCACCTTTTCTCAGTGTTTGGCGGTAGCAATGTCTGTGGAATCAAAGGCATATGAACGTATGACGTCTTACTCACACTTGCGTTATACCCATGTCACTACAAATCATTTCTCTTCCTACTACACTATACATGCTTCTTCTGTGAGCATAGCTGCTGCTCTACCAAATTAGAATAGACAAGCTGTTTGTCTTATTTCACAACGCTTGAGTGAAGATAAACCGGTGAGTTCTCATACCACAAAGAGATGATGACTGTTAGTTGTATTTGCAGTGAAAATTTTCTTTTCGAGTAAGTACGGTTATTAGTGCACAAACACATCAGTGAATTATTTCGTTTCACTTTATTTCATTAGTGTCTATTGGCCATTCATTTTCGTGTGATAATCAAACATCACTGACTATCAACCCCAGCTTTTATATGCAACACAATACACTTTCCGATACAATTCCAATTCACCCTTACTGGCACTATTATTCCATACTCAAAAAACTAGTGGATTTATAATTGTACAGCATGACTAAACATTTATTGAAAACAAACAATTACTCGCTCCAGTCATTCTTCTTCTGAGTAACATTATTCATTGTGTTTCAGACATTTCTACTAACTAATTTCATTAAAACATACGACGAGAGCTCCGTTTACTGCCCACACTGTGTTCCTAATTTAGCAACTTCAATTCTAACTCCATGAGGCTTAAATAGTCCTCAACGGATGCGTTTTCAAACTACAAAGGAATAGAAACTACCAGCTGTCTGGACAGTAAGACTTCGCTTCGACAGTAAGTCTCATGTTGGTACTCACCACGAAGCTTTGAAATTCACTGATGTCCACATCGGTTCTTAAACACATCATCTGTAACTACTACGGTCGAGAGTTGAAATTTAGAATTGGATTTATATAGACACACACAACATATAAACAATACAATGTACACGACATCAAGTCGATTGGTAGTCAGTCGTTTTTCTCTAAGATGTTAGATCTTCACGAGAAGGGGACTGAAGATTCGCCTACTTTTAGTAGTTTACTAAATGGTTATAATCCCAAAGAGCAAAGGAAGGTCGAGAGTGTCAGGACACGATCCTACCTCACAAAATAAATCGAAGCTCTGTCACTTACAACATCGAATGACCATATGCAGAGAGAAACAATCTCCAATAACATTCCACTTTAAAGGTAGTAAACTAATAATTATCCAATGTTACGTTTCCGCAAACAACGCAGATTAAGCAAAAGAAGACTCCTGTCGATAACCGAAAATAGTAACGGAAAGATCCCAAATTGTTCCACCAAAATCTTCATGGGCGATATGAAGGCAAGACGAACTCGAAACAGACAACACAGGAGGAGAACTCATCATAGGTTGAGCGACTCTCAGAGGAATGAATGACAAAGGACACTTCGACGCCTTCACAGATTTGGTGGGCGTATGAGGAGTATGCCCAAGTAAAAAGAAGACAAGGGTTTTACCTGGTGCATACACAGAAAATTAAACAGGCGTCATCTCAATTTCAAAAATCTGAACGCAAAATCGAGAAGGGGATCACATATCGGTTCAGACTATCATCTAGAGGATGAAACACTCAAGGTCAAGTTGAAAGCCATCAAAGCACCCGCAGACAGACCACAACACTCAGAAACCGAAGGGTAAAACTACAAAGGACACCCGTTCACTGCAACCAGCAGATTAAATTTGGCGAAATTATGTGGCATAACCGAGAAATCTTGTGCGGAAGAACACTGCGATTCTCTGAAAGTGGTAACGAAGAAAATCTACATAACCATCTTAGGAAGCAAGAAGAGGCAAGACAAGGAATGGAATTTTAAGGACACCTGGAGAGAGGGGTGCAAAAAAGGAAGATAAACCAACACAAAAATGGACAACGGAAGGAGAAGCTGAGTTCAATATACAACGCACTGAAGAAAGAAGTCAAGCAGAGTACTTGGAAGGCCAAAAGACAGCCCTACAACTTAGATGCCAACAACGAAAGATAGCGATGGAAACCTAATTATCAAGGAACAGAAATAAGGGAAACACTGGGTCGATCACTTCAGAGGACTATTGAATCGACCACCTGCCGCAACTCATCCAGAAATACCACCTACAGCTACAGAATTCTCAGTGAACTCTAATTATCAACAGAATCGGAAGTCTTGAATTTACCGGAATCCGAAAAATCAGCAGAACTATGTTGAATTCGATCAGAAACACTCAGAACAACCTCGTGACCACAGAAGGTATGCTCACGTGACCAGTGCAGAAGATGAGGAATCGAAGAAAGATAACCAAATATTAAAAGAAGCACCACATAGTGATACCTCAACTCAATCGACTCTAAAAAAGGCTTCGGTAGCGTTGGCCGTGAAGTAACTTGGAAAACTGCACAGCACCATGAAGTGCAGAGCACCAAACCCTTACCAACCTCATCCAACACCCGGCCATATGAAAATACCACATTTCAAGTGATCCACAACAGAAAGCTCACTAAGGCCTTCATGTGAAGTCAGGAGTAAGACAGTTGTTTCATATCTTCAGTGACAATGAAAATTACAGTGGATTAGATTATATAACAGGCTGTGGGATATGAGAAGACGACCATAAGTTGGACCGCCAGAGTTTTGCATATCGAGGATGATAACTGTCTTATGTCTCACAAACTTGAAGAAATATAACAGGAAACCAGTAAGTTGGCAGAAGAGGCAGCGAAGATGTGACACAAAGATGTGAACATAAAAGGTAGAGGTGAGGAAAATACCCAAACAACAACAACAACAAGTGACAACCACAACCAAAAGAGGAAATCTACAGCAGGTCATCTCCTTCACTCACCAAGATAGGACGCACTATTTCAACTATAGGAGGCGGAACAGATGAGAAGCCACGATTAGTAAGGCCAGAAGTCGATGTAGAGATCTACAGAACTCACCAAATGGAAGAATCGAATTCTCAACACTAATGCCAAATCAATCAGTGCTTTTATATGGTTCATAGACATAGTGCAAGCAGTTCCAAAAGAATTTCCAACATGCTACTTACTGCAAACTTACATCAATTGCTGCTCCATTAATTTGACAGTGAAGATCAAATGGCCAGCCAGAAAGGAGTGGAAATAAGGAATTCTGGGAAAGAACCAATCGTATAACAAATATTTTAGAAGGAAACAGAGATGCAAAAGATACACAGGGTGAGTAGATTAACGGACGATTTCACCTGATACACCCTCGAGTGAGACACAAATAGGAAGCAACAACTTCAACGTGGTCCCAATGGTGACATCGAGGAAGTCGTGTGACAATGAAGTCTGAATTGACAAGCAACTGTGAAGCCAACCAACGAAGACTGCAGGGAACAGTGACATGGAGATCGGCTACTGAAACCCTATGTTCCACTCAAACTAGAATACAATGCAGATTCTGAGTAGAAATAAAGATTTCCAAAGAACTAAACACGATGGAATGATATTTCATTAGGACCTGCAAACAAAGATCACACATTCGAAGACACAAATCCAATGTCAACAAAAAATTTCACTTCCAACATACTCTCAATGTTAAGTAAACGTAATGAGCGAAATTTGAAGCATGAAACACACAATATGACTGGATTTCTTCAATTAAATCCTACTGAACGTGTCGAATTGAGAAAATGAAATATGTACAACATAGATAGATAATTATTAACTTCACTCTGATAGGAAACAGTACGATATTGTGCGTTCGGAATCCTGGATGGCATCTTTTAATAGAAAATTTCCACTCAGCCATGAAACCATGTGATTTGAAGTGGTGCAGGTTCAGGTTTCTAACAAGACAAATTTTTCACATATTCCGCACGCACACTGACACCAAACATATTTCATATAAAAGGCAGCAACACAGTTTCTGTAAGTGACCAAGTCCGTCAGCCACTATTACAACGCAAAATACATCATCGAAACAGGGACACAAAATCAACACAAAGAACAACAAACTCACCTTCATGAACAGATTGAGTGTGAACTTTCAAACCTAACGCACTGGAGAAGAGCTTTCCACATTCGCCACACTGAAATCGATGACCTAATTATCAAGGTAAATCAAACAGAATGAAAACGTGCAGTGCAATCAAGTGGCAGTGACAGAATTTGTGGGACGGATTACAAAAACTGACTTCACTTGAAATTAGCAGTCTTGACAATTCGATACAGGTCTTAGAGCCTGAGAATATGTGTCCCAGGTAGTATGCCAGCCATTATCTTAGTTCTTCTGCATAATGTCATCTTTTAATAACAAGATACACATAATAACAGCTGAGGTGAATTAATTTCATCTCGTGTGACCCAAGTGACTCACCACCAAACACAATCAAATAACAATAAATTTAAAAGCGAAAAACGCCTATTTACTCATCTTGATATACAGTTCGTGTTATACTCAATTACCAAATAAATGACCTTCACAGTAGGGACAATCACATTGTGGACAGTAACAGCGACCGAACACGAAAAGACACCGAGACTGATGTCCTTTCCACTCAAAACTGCTCACATTCTTCAAATCATTCGCAAAGACACTCTCTTCCTACCATAAGTGTGCCGTGTTGTAATCGTTCAGAGAGATATTGAAAAACACAGAAGTGTCACTATGTGGAATCATTTCCTCTTCAAAAGAAACTACAACACTTTTGCTTCAGTATTTGGGAATTTCAGCTTCCTCTAGAAGCTGAGTAATAAAGACATTAAGGATTGAAATTCTGGTTGGGAAAGTGTCGACCATAGTTCGGACGACTTAGATGAATGATGATGACACTAGTTTAGAAATCTTCTGCACTTAGAATAAACAACAAGATTCGGATTCGCAAAACAAATGTGAAGTCACTTCTTTTTTAGTGGGTCAGAACCTTCACGAACGCGTCTCAAACAGGATTTCCAACAAGTAGCAGACTTTTATCAACGGCTGCCACCTTCGCTCATATGGCCGGTCATAAAGAATCGGCAACAAGAAACTCTGGCAACAAACCAACCAAGAGCCGATAGCTCAACAAATATGTAGGAGAAAATGGAGATGGACTGGGAATACGCTGAGCAGACTGTTGGGTGACATCGCACGCCAGACCATCACTCTAGTGGACACCGGATGGGAAACAACGAGTGGTCGTCCTAGGGTGACATGGAGGAGATAGCGTAAGGAGGAGATGAGAGATTATGGGCAACCGTGTACCCAGCTGAAGAGGACAGCAGAAACAATGTCAAATGCATTCGAAGATAGCAATACATGACCTCTGTCGAGTGAATGGCATAAAATCTTAGTTTATATCCTACTGCTAGACTAAATCTTGACTAACGCTACACTAATACAATGGAATAATTTCACAAATCTGCACATATGAGAGTGATACAAACACACTCAATTTGCAAACCTGTGGAGTCTCCTAACAGAAAAGGGGATTCCACACTTCACTTATACTACTACTAATCAGCTGTTTAGAGAATAATGACATTTTCAAAAACCATCTCAGTTATATTGTGTGTATGCAGCACTCAGTGAACGTTGCATTAAACCAATGTTTCTGATCAGATCATATAAAATTTTACAAAAGGTAAGTTCAATGAAAAAAAATGCATTTCTAGATGGATTTAATATTTTATTAAGGGATGAATGAATTCATCAACTCAGTTAATAAAAGCATCTCAATGGTCTGAATAGAATCAACCACGTTTACTGCAAACACGACAATACATACAGCAGCAAAATAAGCAGACCACTCGAAATGTTCGATGGGAAGAATACTGGAAAGCAGGCCAAAGTACATGTCATTGCACCTTATCAGTAGCACTCGTGAATCCTCTCATTACGATTCTGTAATTGTCAAAATTCGATCAAATGTGTGCTATTATCAATTAACACTACGGTATGCTCTTTCATCTCTAGAATTAAGTCACTCCAAAACAATTAATAATCATTGGAAAAGCCTTTCAATAGCGTAACTCAAAATCACCTCAATGAATACTAGTGCAGGTGACAAAAACGTTGTCAGCAGAGGGAAGTATGTTACTACACTTTGTCCGCTGAATCTCCACACGAATGAGGTTAACAACAATGCACGACCAATTACATCCTGGTGCATTTCCTCTCACGCAGACTGCTAGATTCAAGTAGACTCAAACATTATTGTTGGAAACATGTATTTCTAAACTAGCACCTTAGAGTTTCTGTGAATACAAATATACAACTAATTTTCCAACAAAAGGTATCATGGATTAGGTGTATAATTCAACATAGAGCTGATTAGTGAATGCCAATCAACGGGCTGAACTTTTATTGGTTAGTTATCTGATTAGCGCATACGAAATCAATATTTGCATCATCTAAATTCTGACACACGGACTACTGATGGTCTACTATCTAGTTACATATAACACTTGGACTAATAGGACACTGAGAGTAATTCACTCCCCATTTACATGTTTATCATAGTTGTTACTGTAACTTTATTCGTCGTGTATAGTGAGTTATTTACACGTATCAACATAACTGTTTAGTACACACGAGTAAACTGTTATTTACACTCCACACACTTCTCATTCGATGATGATAGTTGTCCCTTGAAAGTAATTGCAAACTAAGGAGGAAGACAAAGTTGCTTATATCATATGTGATATTTCTGACTGTAGTGAAGTGGATCAAATGGCACACCGTGGGGTGTAAGAAAACAGGCATTGGTGGAACCAACAAAAAGCTTAGCAGGTGTGGACTTCGTGGACGATTTATGTTTAGTTTCACAAACACTCTAAAATCTACTAGCTGACGGAAGGAGTTCAAGTGGACACTTTTACAAGGACAGGTAGCATCGTTTCAACTACAGGTGCGTGGAAGAGGATGTCATAGCCAGTCAAGACCACAATGGGAAAATGAAACAGACATACATTACTCTTAAATAAGTATGCGGATCTACAGCACGTCGTACAAGTACAAACGACCGAATTTTTAGAATTAGTCTCGAGTCCGTTAGTGCTTCTACATAGAATCATGGAAACCGTTTCCAACAAGCCACTAAGGACTTTGACTCTCACCAACATCTGCCTCCTTTCCTCGATGCTGAAGTCTAAATGGACAGCCAGAGAGGATAAGTTACGAAGAACTTGGCATGTCAACCAGTTGGAAACCTATTACTCAACATATATGCTGAAGGAGATAGAGATGGATTGGATATACACTGAGGAGACTTTTCAGTGACATCACACACCAGACCCTCGAGGAAGGCCTGGATGTCAAGCCACGAGTTGGATATGTGAGTGTGACATAGAGCAGATCGTGTGAGAAGGAAATGAAAGCTGGAGTAATGGTTTAGCGAGCTTATTGCCCGCTTTATGGAAACACACCTGCAAATTTCTTAAGAACTGTCAGCACGTGTTAACAGTAACACTAAAGTCGGTACCACACATGACTAAATACCATATCAACGTAATTATAACCTTCTTGAAACCACTTCGTTAGAGTAATGAGTAGAATCCGGGCAATAAAACCATAGAATACCATTTCATTGGACAGAGCTTCCTTGGGAACAAACAAACAAAACATTCAGTGCATACAGAACACATGGAAAGTAACAGGTCACAGAATGCAGGTGGACAAGATATAGACATCGACAATGCGTTAAACTAGACCCAAAAAAAATTACAACCAACTGTTAACTTCTCAACTTTTAACTGAAACTAAACGAAGTGAAACAACAACATTTCTTCATTACCTTCTCGATTGGAATTCACCTCTGCTTTCCAATTACTCTCTCTTTCTAGTTTAGACGCAAACTGGAAAGTAATTTTTCAAAACGGCTTCCTTTAAATTATTTGATGAAAATCTGAAAACTATTATTTCATCATCAACTGAAATAATCACGCTCTCAGTTCGAGAACACTGTAAACAAAACATCTCATTTTAGAAAATACACACACAGGTTACATTCTCGTCAACTGACTAAGTGCGAGCTCATTAGTCACATGTACAACATACAATTTAGACTGATAGATAAAACATATTAGTCAGTGTTTCCAGGAATTACTATGTTCAGTAATCTAGTCGATTGCTTTGTGGAACTAATCATTACCTGCTCAAACTAAATAAAATACAGGATTGCTTTCATGAGCCAGTAACTCTGACCTTCTTCTCCATATAAAAATGCACAAGCAAGAAACAACCTATATTCAACACTAACTTCGCACAAAAGGATATCGGTTCACCTTACAACACTTCTCAGAGAATGAAGGCAAAAATAATCACAATGTTCATAACGTGACAAGAAGCATAATTAATATTACCAGATAGGAAAATATATGAGGTTTCACTGTTCGACAATTTAATGTCAAAGTCTGAGTACATCCGAACTTCTGAGATTGTTTTCAAGCATAAAACTATTTACTATTGATGCACAAATTATCCACAGAATCAACCTTAAAAGTTCATGAAACAGTCAGTAACATCTAACGTCTTGACTATTGTTAACTTTTCTTTTGATATCAATCTATTTCTTCAGTACCACAAGGAAAAAAGATGTATGCTTGCTTGACATGAGCAATATACACTCAAGTATTATAATTATCTTTTGTTGCACGATAACAGTTTAATCGATTGAATTATTCAGCGAAGAAAAGTGCGATAATATTGGTGTATTTGACTGTGAGTCACAACTGATTAGATATATGAATGAATAACTAACTGAATAAATACACAGAGGTCAACCTAATTTTCAATAGACATGTGCGAAATAGATGGTAGGACAATAAAGCAGATTCGGAAATGTGAATGTGTGAATACTAAAACATGAGGTAGACATAGGATGAGTGAAATGTTGTCAAAATAGTAGACTAAATCAAATGTTACAATGTAATAACAAAAACTGAAATGAAGTGAAATAAAACAGAAATGGAACATGGAATAAAGAAGGATAACACAGGTTTTATATGAATTACATAGCAAAATCAAGACCATTGTGACGCATAATCCTATACACCAATATTATCGCGTCCTTAGTACTTCCACTCACTGTCAAACTTTAACGCACACACGCACACACCGAGAAG